CAGTCTTCAGATTAACATTTGCATTTCTAAACTCAGTGGTGGATTTCAGCCAGTTTGCATCACTTCGGAAGAACGGGTAGCTAATTTTTTGTTGCCCGTGCCCAGAATGGACTTCTGGAAGCAGCATCCACACAGAGAACTGGTTGTTCACATATATGAATCCCACCACTGTCTAAACTCATGTATTATGAGTAATACAGATAAATAGAAAGAGCCTCTTCACTTTAAAGAAAGCTAATATAATTCCAACTCACTTTTTTCTTCATGTATGTCTACTTTCTTGAGCATTTTTAAACCTTTTACTACATTTAGGAGTCATAAAGGCCAAGGATTTGTTTAATTCTGATCTGTATATTACTCTGAGAAGCGATTAAGGTTAAATCATCTTAACCTGCTTCATCAGACATACAGTAGATGGCTTTTTAGTCCTAATTGTTTCTATGATCTGCAGTTCATGCTCCAATGTAGCACACAGGAACTGTTTGCAGAAAAAGTTATGAATAAATATCATGTCTCTTAAGTCCAATGCATTATGCAGCTCAATACAGCACTTATTTGTCAAGAATGAAAATGTGTTGTATTGCTGATTACTTAAATTAACATGCACTGCTTTAAAATTCAGCACAGATATGCAAACAAACAGGAAAAAAAATGTCTTCCCGATATGCAAATCTTTGACACAATCATGTTATGAGTTTGACTCTTTTGGCCATGCAGACACAGTTCAGAAAAGAATATGCATTATATTATATGATTATGTTGACACACAGTCAGCCAGATGTTTAGACTGGATTTCACATTTTTATCCACCTATCGAGGCCTTCCCAAGAACCTGGGATACACAGATGTTGTTGTCTGATGGTACTAAGAATATTGTCTCAGTTTGAAAGCTATTTCAAGTATATCTGACTTTTGTAATTCACTAATGGTGATTTTGTCAATGCTGATGGTGTTCAAGTGGTGCTCCAGTTGTTTTGAGGATTGCACCTAAGGCGCTTGTTACTACCACTGCTATCTTTGTTTTCTTTTTCCTTGTGTTTTGTGATTTTCTCCAGTTCTTTCTATTCTGTTCTGCTGCCTCCAGGTACTGCAATGTCCACTATTCAAACTTTTTTGTCTCTCTTATCGACAATTGTTAAGTTTGTGTCATTATTTGGCAGGTGCTTGTCTGTTTGAATTCTAAATTCCCAAAACACTCTAATTTTTTTATTTACCTATTACTTTGCTTATTTTGTGGTCTGACCATTTCTTGCTTGCAGGCAAATGATATTTCTTGGAGATATTCCAATGCTCCATTTTTGTTACTTGTCATGTCATTGTTAGCAGTATGTGTGATCTTCTTGCAGCAGTTAGCTAGATGGTCCACTGTTTCTTCAACTTCTTTGAAGAGATGGCATTTGCTGTCTGTTGCTGTCTTGTCAATTCTGCATTTGTTCTTAAGACTTGATCTTGTGTGGCCAGAATTAGCCCTTCTGCTTCTTTCTTCAACTTTCCTGCTCTTAGCCATTGCCAGATTTTGTTATCTGCTTTGCCTGCTAGATTTTTAATGTACTGGCACGTGATATTTTGCCTTGCCATATCTCTTTTCTATTTTTCATTTGGTCTTTCTTTTAGGCCAGTTTGGCCACTTTGGTATATAGTAAGCTTTCCTAACTTCAGTGCACCTTATTCACTGTCCTTCAGATATCCATCCAATGTTCTTCTTTTCTTCTTCAACTGTGTGGTGTACTTGCAACATTCCTCACCCAACTACACTCCTTGGTAAGTCGAGTCTGCCAATGCTGCTGAATGGGTGAAAGGCATGATTCATTGTCCAATAAAGGATAATTTGTGCAGTTCAGGGTTAAAATGAGGAGTTCTTGGTGCTTTCTGAGCTTGATTGTTTTCTTGTGGACGTTTCATTACCCAAACTAGGTAACAGCATCAATGCTAAAACTCCTGATGATGTTACCTAATTTGGGTAATATAAGATCCGCAAGAAAACAACCAAGCTGAGAGAGCAACAAGGACCCCTGATTCATTATCTTTGGATTCAGGGCTTTGTTATTATTATACATTTAGATTTCTAGAAGCAATTCAGGAATGCTTTCCAGAAAGAATTTATCTTACCTTTTAACTATACCCTTATTATGGTAATATATGTTCAAATATGACTAAAGTCTTAGAGAAGATACTGGGAAGATTTTCACTGTCGTGATGAGTGAACTGTTATTTCATAGTCCCTTAGCCGTTTGGGAGAAGACTCCTGCAAGTCACCTGGACTGCAAAGTGATCAAACCGGTCAGTCCTAGAGGAGATCAACCCTGACTGCTCTTTAGAAGGCCAGATCCTGAAGTTGAAACTCAAGTATTTTGGCCACCTAATGAGAAGGGAGGATTCACTGGAGAAGAGCCTAATGCTGGGAAAGATTGAGCGCAATAGAAGGAGGGGATGACAGAGAATAAGGTGGTTGGATGGAGTCACTGAAGCAGTAGGCATGAGCTTAAATGGACTCCAGAAGATGGTAGAGGACAGGAAGCTTGGAAGAACGTTGTCCATGGGGTCGCGATGGGTCGGACATGACTTCGCAACTAACAACAACAATAGCTGTTTGAGTCTTGACCTTCAAGTTATACAGAGCTTTGTTTCCAGCTGTAGAAGTCTGAATGTTCAGGATTGATATTAAACCATGGATGAGAGACATTCTATTGTTTGATAGAAAAATAGGACAACAAAATGAGATAAGCACATTTTGGTGTATTGGGTAGCATGGAGGGACCATTCTCTTAATAAGGACATGAACAGAATGAAAATTGGGAGAAGAAAAAGATCCCACTTTAATTATGTCACAATGATGACCAAAGGATAGCTTCCTTGTTCTTCAAGTACTCTTTGATTGCATCTTTCTCTCTCTCCTTCTCCAACTCCTTCATTCCCTATGAGAAGTCTCATTCAATGGTGTTTCTTTTGACCAAGGATTCAGTGTTGGAAGAGAAAAAAAATGGATTGCCAGTTATGGGGATTTATATCCTTTTGCTTTATGCACAACATTGTAATCTGTACCCTGATTCATCACAGATTACTGGCCTGGCCTGGAAAGGCATATTTCAGACACAAAATCTGGTTCTTCTATAATATAAGTAGCATACAATGTGCAAATTTAAAGCCATATTAAAGCAAACTACCAAATTCTCAGCTTCCATATCTAGTACCTTCTAAATCTGCAGCAAACCAAGAAACATGTATTGATATCTGAATGTTGCAATACAGTTCACAGTTCAAAAATGTGCAACTCACACATACAACTAAAATAATAAATTAGGGAAAATGTTTTTTTTTTATAAGCACTCTTTTCAATTACTTGTCTTCACTACCACCACCAACAGCACCTGAAGAATTGGGAATATATATTACTGAGCATTTTCTTTCAGAAGGATGAATAAAACATTTAAGTAAACTTTTGCTGCAGGTGAGACACATCCATCACACTTCTTGTGCTGAGAATGAGTGGTACTTGTAAGAGCAAGATGCACTCTTTCCTCCCAGAGGCTCTGCCATTTTCCAAAGAAATGGAAGGGGGAAAAACATCAGTACCTTCTTTACTTACGAACTCACTTTTGTAAAGCCTGATCAGTCTGTTCCTGCCTTCCTATTAATATGGTTGTCAGAAATCTGAGTGTGCAATAGAGTGGGGAACAGTTTGTCTTTCCTTCAACAATTAGATTATATTGAGTTAGATATTATAAATAAGGAACTAATACTCCTGTTTGCTCAGAAAAACTGAACAAGTCTGGAGGTTTATTTATTTATTTATTTTTAAAATTTATAAGCCGCCCCACTCCCATAGAACTCTGGGCGGCTAACAATAAAAACAACATAAAACATGACAAACGAACAGTACAATTACAGTCATCAAGGGGTCAGATTTTATAAACCCCAGGCCTGCCGGAAAAGCCAGGTCTTAAGCAGCTTACGGAAAACCAACAGGGTAGGAGCGGTCCTAATCTCCGGGGGGAGCTGGTTCCAAGGCGTGGGCGCCATCACAGAGAAAGCCCTCCTCCGCGGCCCTGCCAAATGGCACTGCTTGGCCGACGGGACCTGAAGGAGGCCCAGCCTGTGGGATCTAACCGGACGTAGGGAATTATGAGGTAGTAGGCGGTCTCGCAAATAGCCTGGCCCTGAGCCATATAGGAAGTCATCCTTCTGACTCTGTAAATCTGCTCATAAATTCTATTACAGTGCATACTTCATTACTGAAAAATAACAAGTCTGAATGCACCATATAACTCCTTTTTAGTCATGCTACTTAGCATTTTTTATATTCTATGTTAATTATAATCACACCCTTAATCATATAAATAATCTTTATTAATCATCCAGCCAAGCACTTCTTCCCTAATTTTAACATTTCTAGAAATGTTATATTTTTGCCCTCCACCATTTCTTTCTTTTACAAGAATCATTGTATCTCTAGCTCCCTATCCATATGGTAAATCCCATCATTATTATTCCTTTAGTAAAAGGCAGACTTATGTTTTTCTTATATATGAATCACTAAAGAACTCTTCCTTCGGGTTTCATCCAGGGACAAATGCTCCAGACCATATGGGATCCTTGCTACATCTGCTTGCTTTTCTTCAGAATTCTGCTCCATTTCAGCATTTAAAAATCTTCTCAAACCACATTTAAATCAGCTTTAAATAGTTAATATACTATGCATTTTAATGCATACCTCCAATTTTTATTTATTTATTTTTTTTGCAGTAGAGGTTCAATACATTGAAATGGCCAAGATATATGAGGAAACAAACAGAATTTACTTTGTTGGTATGAGATCTCCAAATTATAAAATAGCTTTCTTGGTCTAAATCAATTATAGATATCTCAGCTTTTAAAAAGAATGCATTTAAAAGAACATTCACAATATGCTGAATTTATGATTGTGTGTTTTAAGGATGGGGAGGATTCTTAGTTTCTCTAGCACTCACATCATGCTCTTCCTGGCAACTGGGGTTACATACCTATTTTGAAAATGCAGCCAAGCTAATATCCAGAATCAAACCTGTAGAGCATTTTGTTGTCTGGAACAATTTGATTTTCAGATAACTCTATGTCAGAGCTCTACTGAATATTAAACAATGAGCGATGCAGAAGCTATAGTGTAAGACCCATGTCGGAAAACGCAGCCACAATCTTCTGCCACTCAGTAATTGTTCATATGCTGCACTCAAGGTGTTCAGCAACATGGCCAACCTGAAAGATGAAGCAATTCTCAGATCTACAGAGAAAACATCTTTGCATTGACAGACATAAATTGCTGAAGCAAATTTTTCTTTCTTTATCATTGCTTGCTTACCTTATACTGAATAAGTCAAGAACATGAGACTAGGAAAGGGAAGTTGGGAATGATGGCACTGATTTGATTTCACATCATCATCTGTGGTGGCACAGTGGTTAGAATGCAGTCTTGCAGGCTAACTCTGCTGACTTGCAGCAGTTTGATTCTGACAGGCCCCTGGTTGACTCCATCATTTCAAAGTCAGTAAAATTGTTGGGGGCAATAAGCTGACTCTGTAACCCACTTAGAGAAGGCTGTGAAGCACTGGGAAGTGGTATATAAGTATAAGTACTATTGCTATTGCTATTATTATGTCAACAAATTTGGCATGAAGATCAATATACAAAATTACATATTGAGCAGGAGATTGTAGACTATTTTTTTTCTCTAATCTATTCTTTTTAATTGACTCATTCCTCCTTCCACATACAGATAAATGGAAGTCGGGAAGACCCAGATACATGAGCTGATTCCCCTATATCAATCCATATGAGAAAGATAAATAGGTGGCATCTTTTCTCTGTTCTTTCCACAAGTATATACATTGGATTAAGTTTTAAAAGATTTTGAAAAATTGAAAAGCAAATTATCATAACACAAAATCTTATGAGCTAGGAAGCTGAACTGGATTAAACTAGCAGTCTTGACAAATGAACATCTTAGCATCAGATTGCTTCCAAAGTCTTACAGAGTGACAGTGGACCGGTAACTGGAAATTTCATGTCCATGATTGAAAGCTGTGGAATATAAGTCTTGAGCTATTTCAAGTTATGGTAAAGAATAACAAAATAACAGAGTTGGAAGGGACCTTGGAAGTCTGCTAGTCAAAACCCCTGCTCAAGCAGGAGACCCTATACCAATTCAAAGAGCTGTCTAATCTCTTCTTAAAAACCTGCAGTGATGGAATACCCACAAATTCTGTTCCAAGCTGTTTCACATTAATTGTTCTCATTGGCAGGAAAATTTTCCTTATTTCTAGGCTGGCTTCTGCTCTTGATTTCTATCCATTGCTTCTTGTCCTGCCTTCAGGTACTTTGGAAAATAGGTTGACCCACCCCCTCTTATTTGTGGCAGCCCCTCAAATATTAGAACACTGCAACACAGATATAGTATGAAGGACAATGCCAGCAGTCTCCTTCATACTTGACTCCATTAGAACAGACAAAATAAACAAACAAAAACCAACAAAAAGACCCCCCTCCACTCATCCACATACCCATAGTTACCTTTTTGTCTTCATTTCTGTGACCAGCCTATTGAATATGGCAGCTGGAGTTTGCTTCAGTTGCTTTAAAGATACTATAGATACCCATGTCCTAGGACTGCCAACCAAGAATATGGCTATTAGAGCATAATTCACTGCAGGAAGGGCCAGCCTGCTAAATTAATGAAACCAGCCACTGAAAATTGAGAGTGACTATGAGAATAATACCAAAAAAGATTGCTCCAATATTCTGTGGGCTGCAGCAAAACCCTTCACATACTGTGCACAGTCTCTGGAGCATATCTCTAAAAAGAGAATGCTAGATGAGCCTGATGAACAACTGTGGTATGAAAAAAAGAACATATGCTATCAGATTCTTAAATAATCTCTCTTTTCTCTGAAATTACATTCTGTTTACAAAGGGAGTTGGGGTCTCAGAAAAAAACTACCCAAAAAGGAGAAAAATGGGTAAAATAAGTATTTCTTTGCATCTGTCCGTGGCAAGTTGACATTGTGTTTTTTGAATCCATAGATTTGGTTATGAAATGGTTTTCTCTCTTGCCTGCTATGTTGAAACTGAATCTCATGTATATCTTTTCACAGCATCACTGTGAAGTCACTGAGAGTCAAGCTGTCTCAAAATCTCAGGCATGGATGCTAATTACTGTGCTACTGCTTCAATGCTCTCCAAATGTTCTGTTAAAACTACTTTTTAATTTATAGAGGGCTGCATTGCTGTCATTTATTAGACCCTTGTAATTTTTTTTCATTGTAAGTTAATTTCACAGAAAGTCAAAATGTTCTCTTTTCATTACTCTCTTTGGATGGCCTAGTAAAAAAATAATGGAATTTGGTAGAAAACAGTGCTTAATCATCAGACTAATTATATGTAAGTTCTCTTTTTTCCAATAAGAAAATGAACTTCATATTTAATTTTATGAAAGCAAAGAAAATATTTATATTCTAACTGATTGATTAATCACAACCAGAAATTTAGGTGTTCTTCAGATAGACTCAGTCGTGGGATTCAGCTGGTTTGCTCCACTTTGGCAGAACCAGTAGCTAATTTTTTATTGCCTAGGCCCAGAATGGGCTTCCGGAAGCAGCATCCACATACAGAACCAGTTGTTCATATATTTGAATCCCACCACTGGACAGACTTCCTTTTTTATATATACTAATGTGTCTTCTGTACTTTTTGTCCATTAGTTACAAGTCCAGCCTCTTTTAAAACTTAATATGTTGAAAAGATAATGCGTCTTTAGTAAAGACAGATGAAGCAAACTCCTTCCATCCTATTTTGTTTTGCATATGTTGATTTATCTGCATCCATAACATACTGCAGCATCCACATTTACTTTTCATGTATTTTTTATACAAAATATATCCCTGTCTCCCCAAATTTTGCATAAAGCAAGATCCTCATCTCTCCTCTTTATTAATCAGTCTGTCAAGGAATTGGCTAATAGAATCATATCTCTGGAGGATGCTCTAAATTGGAAAAAAAATTCTCCTGTTTTGAGATGGTAGTAGACATTTGGAATGGTGAAATACTTCCTGCATCCATTCTAAAGATGCTTCAAAAAGGATTCAAGCAGGGAGCTATATGCAGCCTGTAGGCCACCCATCACTATATGAAAATGTATATATCTATATGCACCATCTTATTTCAAGAAATATATAATGCTGTTTTGAAAAATAAGAAACCTGAAAGTTAACTGAGTTCCAGTATACTTATTAGGCTGAGAAATGGAATCAGTTTTATGAATGATGAAACTGAAATGAATGTCTCAGACTTTGCAAATAGCAAGCATGTTACTGTTATTGGGAAAGACAGGATGTCATTCTCTATATTCTAGTTATTTTATATATAAAAAGTTTGGAATACAATATTATGGATGGATCTATGAACCTCCAGAAAGTTCCATGAGCACTGAAACAGACTAAAGATAGCTTCATGCAGAGTTCATAACAGTTTGCCATTTATATGCAGCTAAGGTACATGTCACCATGAACTCATCAGGAAAACATTCCTAGGTACAAAATTGTATCTAAACAGACAAGTGCAAAGCTGCAATAGAAATATCAAAACTGGAAAAATGAGTCTGTAAGAGGAGTAATATCCTACCTAAAATAACACAATTTCCTATTCCCAAATCCATCTGTCAATGTAAAGTCTTAGTTCATTATTAACTAAGTGGAGAATAATGACTTTACTTAAATATGAAAGTGTAAATTATTAATGTTCATTTTTAGCAATAGCAATAGCACTTAGACTTATATACTGCTTCATAGTGCTTTACAGCCCTCCCTTTACAGAGTCAGCATATTACCCCCAACAATCTGGGTCCTCATTTTACTGGCCTTGGAAGGATGGAAGGTTGAGTCAATCTTGAGCTGGTCAAGACTGAAGGACTCGAACTCCTGGCAGTTTGAGCAGAGTTAGTCTTTAATACTGCATTCTAACCACTGTGCCACCACAGCTCTTGCAAGTTTTTAGGCAAGTTCCCCTACTACTGCCTTTGCTAAACTTGCTTTTCACTTTTTGAAGATGACTTACGCATACAGCTCACAGGGCAAACACAACCCTCAGCCCAAATTATACACCTCCAGTTTATTATACATTGTGAAGCTCGTTATTGGTCACACTAGCAACAACTTTTCTCTCATGGTGGTTGTTGTTCCTCCTAGTAAGAAAATTAAAAAGAAGACAAACACACTGCTTAAAATATCATGCTGATATTCTTTATTCATTGTCTGCATTCCTACCAAATATGTTTTGGTGGTGTACATCAGTATGTGAGCTCATGTTAAATATTTTTACTATGGAGGAAAGGGCATGAACAACAAATTTTCCTGGGAAAAGAAAGAAATGGTGAATTGAAAACAGCTCTGCTAAAATTAGAGTCAATGTCCATGCCTGAACGAAGAGCCAGTGAGTAGATTCTCTCTTTGTAATTCCACTCTGGACAAAGAGATCATTTGAGATCTCGATACATGTTCCATACATTTTGTGAGGAGACCACAAGATAATAGTCTCTAGTGCTTTTAGAGCTCTGGCAGATGAGAGAAAGACATCTTTTTGCTCAAACCATGGTCGGTGTCTTCAAAAGGATCCAAGGTTTGCCTACCTCTTGGATTTTATTTATTTATTTTATATAGCAGCCCATCTCACAAAAAATGACTCTGGGTAGCATACAGCAAAATAAAAGTATAAAAACATTGAACATGTCAAACACAGTCATAAAGACACACACAAGATTCAATCACCAAAGAAGCCATCTTAAAAATCAAACTGATCCCCTGAGACTCACTAGGTCTTGATGGACTTCCAGAAAATAAAGTTTTTGCTTGTTAACTGCTTTTTAACTATAGGTTTGGATTACAGCACTTCATGAGTTCCCTTCTATTGTTAACAAAAGAACTTTTAAATTCAAGTTTAAGAACAGGGGGAAAAACCTTTAGAAATAAATAGCAAAAGAGGGATTAGAATTTTGATTTTGCAAACTTACAAGTGAACTAAGGATCAAATGAATTTGAAATGAATTTTTTGAATTAATTGTAAGAATCTTTCTTATGGGAAAATGTTTTGCTTTGGAATTTTCTTAAACAAGGGATAATAGGATAATAAAACGAGACTTGGACATTACAGGGGCCTAGAAGAAACTAAAGATTACAATTAAAGAACACTTAAATTTGACTTACTAATATACTGTAGAGTAAAGCATATTGAATGATATTTTTGAACAACTGACTCAGATGTTAATTTTAATAGTGTCTATCTCTATAGACACTTTCAAATGAAGTTTTGAAAGAGGAGCAAATTATATCTGTCAAGACAGAGATTGATCTGAAAGTGTATTTAAAAATGTTAGGCAACAAGAATGATATGGAAAAAACTGCCACATTGGACAGAGAAAAGAAGCTAACTGATGTCTGAATAATTAAAAGGAAATACAAATAATAAATCAATTATTTGTTTTATTTTAAGAGAAGATAAGTTATTAGAATTGTTTATACTTCTGATGAAAAGGGAAGACATTTCTTTATAGATATTTCCTTTTTATTTACTATATTGTTATTTTTTTTCTTTTCCATTTTTTTCTATTTTTTTCCTTTTCTGCACTTTCTATTTTTATTATTTTTTTAGTTTGTATTTTTTGTAGTTTTTAAGATTTCATCTTTTTAATTGTAATGTTTAAGAGCTGTGATGGAGCAGTGGTTAGAATGCAGTACTGCAGGCAAATTCAATCATGACAAATTCGAGGTTGACTCAGCCTTCCATCCTTCTGAGATCACTAAAATGAAGACCCAGATTGTTGGGGCCAATATGCTGACACTGTGAAGCACTATGTAAAGCACTATGAAGAAATATACAAGTCTAAATGCTGTTGCTATTAATAAAATATCTATAAAAAAAGAACATAAACTTTCCCATTCCACCTTTATCCATATTTTGGGGATCAGGTGAGGAGTAGAAGAAGGATACCATGAAATTTGATGTGATTGGGAAGTGTGCAGAATGCCTATTGCTTTGGCATATCTATGTATTATTATTAATGGGAATATCCATGAAAGAAAGCAAATTTAGCTTGCAAAGCAAACTATTCTGAACAGCTCTATTGCATTTCAGCACTCCCTGCAATACAGCAGATAAAGATCAAAACCTTTCAGGATAAGAGGCAGATAAGAAGTATGGGGGTACCCAGTTCCAGTTAGACTGAGATACCCAAGGCAAAGAAACTGACCTGACTTCGAGTGATTTGAGTGACATCTCACATGCTTCTTTAATTAAGGTATGTGCTTTTTAAAAGGTTCAACAGGGTATTATAGAAGATACATGTATATGTATCTCTTCCTCTGTTAAATAAAAAAATAAATAAAAAAGTTCTTCCACTTCCTCTGATTTCTTGCCAGCTGGAATACAGTACACCCTGCAGCTAAGGCTCTTCTCATTTATTTTGGCTGAGTTTGCGCCTTTGAAGAATTGGGGGAGAGTTTGTCTTGCAGAAATAATTTAGAAACAGTTGAACACGAATCTGCCTACCCAGGTCTCTAGAAACCGCAATAGATTTGCATCTTTGCACATTTGGGTGCATAGCCCACTCCAGTGAGTTTTTTTTTTTTAAGAGGAGGATCTAACAAATTCCAAAAATAAAAGAACTGAGAAACATAAGATATATACCTGGGCTAAATAATTGCACTGCTTCATTTATCTGCGATTGCTTGTGAAATTGCTTGTTGTTTATGGTTGGCCATCATGAAGGGCAGATTGCTACATGGACTGCTGGTGTGATTCAATGCAGTTCTTTTGAAGTGTGTATACATCACAAAGGGCTTCTGTAAAACACAAGGCCTGGCATTTAGTGGCTGAGAAACAATTCCCCATACATACAGTTTCAGATACTAACATTGGTATTTCCAGCTATGAAAATGGCCTCTCCCTCTGATCAGCAGGAGGTTAGTTTTTCTGGATGCAAGGCTGATCCAGATGGACCATTTTAGACACTACAAAAATATATAACACCTTGGTAAGACCACACTTGGAATACTGCATCCAATTTTGGTTGCCACAATATAAAAAAAAATGTTGAGACTCTAGAAAGAGTGCAGAAAACAGCAACAAAGATGATTAGGGGACTGGGAGCTAAAACATAAGAATGGTTGCTGGAATTGGGTATGTCTAGTTTAATGAAAAGAAGGACTAGGGTTGACATGATAGCAGTGTTCCAATATCTAAGGGGTTGCCACAAAGAAGAGGGAGTCAATCTATTCTCCAAAGCTCCTGAAGGCAGGACAAGAAGCAATGGATGGAAACTAATCAAGGAGAGAGCAACCTAGAACTAAGGAAAAATTTCCTGACAGTGAGAACAATTAATCAGTGGAACAATATACCTCCAGAAGTTGTGAATGCTCAATCACTGGATATTTGCAAAGAGAGATTGGACAGCCATTTGTCCAGCATGGTAGAGAATCTCCTGCCTGAGCAGGGAGTTGGAGTAGAAGACCTCCAAGGTCCCTTCCAATTCTGTTATTCTGTTCTGACTGTTGTATCATCCCTATGGTGACATGATTAAAATTTAGGTGCTCGATACCGACATGCATTTATGCAATGTGGTTATAAAGCACGATGACACATGACCTCATTGCTTAGCAACAAAAATCCTGGTAGTCCCTGTAGCCATTGTTAAGCAAGGTCATTAAGCAAGAACCTCCTTGTGACATCCAACTGGCTTCCAACATGCAAAGTCAATAGGGAAGCTAGCTGGGAGTTGCAAGCAGCCAGCAGCAGGTAAGTGACTGCAGCAGTGCAGCACAAATGTGGCCATGCTGGGAGTGATTGTTGCCAGGTACAGGACGGTATGCAGGTGGCTGCTATGGTGCCACATGAATATGATCAGGTGTTCAGGTGTACCTGTGGAGTATGAGATTCCTGGGATGGGCTCCTCAGGAGAAAAAAGTGGCAGAAATAGGAGTGACTTACAGGAGTGATTGCAACTATCATAAGTTTGAGCCAGTTGCCAAGCATCTGGATTATGGTAATGTGACTGTGTGGATGCTGAGATGGCTGGAACTTCAAGGACCAGTACTTTGTAAGTAGTTTTCATTCAACACCTTTGTAACTTCAAATAGTTGTTGAGTGAATGGTGATTGACCACTGTCTATAAACACACACATACTTTCAAACCCAGGTCAAATCATCATGTTTCTGATGTTCTACTGACCTCTTTCATATTGGTCACCAATTAGTAAAAATAGAACATTTTGACTGTTCCTGGTTTCAACTGAAAGAAAGTCACTTGTCTGATATGGTGTAGGTTCTCCTGCTTGAGCAGGGAGCTGGACTAGAAGACCTCCAAGGTCCCTTTCTATTCTATTCTATTCTATTCTATTCTATTCTATTCTATTCTATTCTATTCTATTCTATTCTATTCTATTCTATTCTTATTCCTACTCCATTCCATTCTGTTCCTGTTCTAAAACTTACAAGTATCCTAGACTGATATAAGAGGAATGTGGCAATGTTGGCTTGTGTTATCTTTCTTTTTCCTCTTCTACATTTTTTAGCATTTTGCCTTTCCTCCCACCTTTGCCTTTTCCTAGCTGCCATTGCCACTGAAGTTGTCAACATAAGCTCTCATCAAAGAAAATCCTTATTCCTGATTTTTCCCTATTGAATACAAAGCAAACAACCCCATTTTTTTCCATATATGATAAATATGGACAAATAGAAAAAGAGTTCTTTCATCTAGGGAATGTTGTTCACATCCTTATTAATTATCAATTTCTCACTCTCAAGAGACACAGACAGAAAGTTCTAAGGATCAGATACATTAGAATTCACAGAAAGAATTTAGGATAGAGGTGTGATGTCAATGCATAATTACCTTCTGGGATTTAACCTACACATTTAATTCCTTATATTTTTGCCAGTGGACATGTCAGTATTTCATATCTCTCTCTTTAATTCAAGGAGATTATATCCCAAAATCTCAAATATAACAAAATTATGTAATAGATATAGGTTTTTGTTTGTATATTTCCTCACCATTAGGCACAAGGCACAAGAAATTATCAAATGGAGTTGAGAACAGCTCTCCCTTCATCTAAGTAATGTTGAATGCTAAACTTTGTTCTACTGATAGATATATGATTTGGGGAGCAGGAAAGCACTCTAGGGAAAATATCAGCCTTTGATATTCAGTTAAGAATAAAGCAAAAGCTTATCCCAAAGATGCTTTTTCACAAGGCAACTGGGCTTTCCTGTTAACAAGAAAGTCCAGTTGTGTCATGAAAAAGCATCTTTGGGATAACTATGACCTGGATGACTGAGAATCTCCATAGAAGTAAAAGCTTGTAATAGAAAAGGGTTCTAGATGCAGAGTAAACTGATACATAATGCATAATACATAATGCACCATCCGTGTTTATGCTGATTGGAACCTATTATAGGTAATCCTCAATTTAAAATCCTTCAATTAATGACCATTTGAAATTACATTGGCACTGAAAAAAGTGACTTACAACCAGTCTTTGCATATATGTATATGTATACCATATGCCAGAGTTCCCAAATGTTTCTAGCTTTGTGGACCAGTGGGGGGAAGAGAGGGGATAATTCAATGCACATGCATGCAACTCCATTTGCATGAAAGTCATGCATGCATGCCTGCCACTCATGCAAATGGAGCATGCACGCATGTGCTCGCTGGCTGCTTGCACAAGTGAAGATGCAGGTGCACTTGCTGTCCGCTTCTGCTGCCCAGTTGCAATATTCTCATGGTCCATGGCTGCCCATAGGTTGATGACCCCTGCCGTAGGTGGTACCTGACTTGGCAGTAGTAACTGTGACATGGATCTTGGACTCCTAGTGAACAATCACTTAAATATGAGCCAGCAGTGTGCTGCAGCTGTCAAAAAAGTCAACATAGTTCTAGGTTGCATCAACAGAGGAATGGTATCAGGTGAAGTGTTTGTACCCCTTTATAATATCTTGTACCACTTTATAACACTTGGAGTACTGGATCCAGTTTTGGTCGCCACGATGTAAAAAAGATGTTGAGATTGCAGAAAAAGTATAGAGAAGAGCAACAAAGATGATTAGGAGACTGGAGGCTAAAACATATGAAGAACAATTACAAGAATTGGGCATGTCTAGTTTAATTAAAAGAAGGACTACCATCAGAATGACATGGTAGCAGTGTTCCAGTATCTCAGGGTTTGCCACAAAGAAGATGGGGTCATATATTCTTCAAAGCACCTGAAGGCAGGACAAGAAACAATGGATAGAAACTAATCAAGGGGAGAAGCAACCTAGAACTAAGGAGAAATTTCCTGACAGTTGGAACAATTAATCAGTGGATAAACTTGCCTTCAGAAGTTGTGAATGCTCCATCACTGGAGGTTTTCAAGAAGAGATTGGACAGCCATTTATTCAGAATGGTATAGGGTCTCCTGCCTGAGCAAGGGTTGGACTAGATAACCTCTGAGTTCACTTTCCAACTCTGTTATTCTCTTGTTCTGTTCTGTTATGACTGTTGCATCATCCTTAAGGTCACATGATTAAAATTTGGGTGCTTGATACCAGCAAGTATTCATTACAGTTGCAGCATTCTGGGTCATTTGCAACTTTCCCAGCTGTCTTCTGACAGACAAAATCTATGAGGGAAGCTGATTTCATTTAATGAATCATTTAATAAAAGCAGTGATTCACTTAACAACTGTGGCCAAAAAATACCCCATTAAAATTGGACACAACTCATTTAACAACCACCTTGATTAGCAACAGAAATTCTGGTACGAACTGTGGTTGTAAGTTGAGAACTATCCATAGCCCACCCTTAGTTAGAACATATGTTATTTTGGGAAAAGTTCTGACATAATCCTATTAAAGGATCTGCTTGCATTCCACCTGTGTGCTTTTTAACAAAGGCATCCAGTGTGTTTGTATGTATAACAAGGTGGTCACTGTGACCGCATAATCAATATCCCTTTTATTGTATCCCCCCTCTTTGGATATGCCTGATTTCTAAGGATCTTTGTAAGCAAAACAATCATATAACAGCTACACAGATGAGGAAATCAGCCTAATATTGTATGTAACATATGCTGCTGCTTCTTAAACCGAACATTGATATCATATGGCTGAAAGATAACATAAAGGGATCAATGCACTACATCAAGCACCTGTGCCCCCTGTGGAAAAGGCATTTTGTCGCCAGAACTTGGAAGAACAAAACATCATCTGACTATTATTGTATCAAGAATTAGCAGTGGGAGAAACAGAGGAGAAATAAGTCAGCCCTACTATATTAAAACAGACGATATACCTTCTCTATGAGAGATTAATGTAGTTTTTTAAAGCTTATTTCCAAGACTTAAAGGAAGAGTCTTCTTCCAATTCCATGTGTTCTCCCACAGGCCATTTCCAAGCTGTATCTACATTCATCTACAGGGTATTCTTTTGATGATTTTTTTTTTTTACACAGAATTTTTATTTACATTTTTCTGAATTACTCTCTCTAAGGAAGATATTGCTGAGTGTATTTATTTTAAATGCATACCTTAATATATTTCTTTTTGAACATGAGTCATTACTTTTGGAGAAGAACACAATTCAGTCAACAGGTATGTCCTGGGCTGCGCATACTAGCGGCCCTGCACATAATTAGTTTGTATTAAAAATAACAAGATTGCTGCATCTAAAACTGTCCTACAGTAACAACTTAGATAACATAGCTAGCTCTGGGTATTAGGCATCAATATGAAAAAATAAAGGCTCCTGTTTATGAATGGAAATGTTTATGTTGTAGTGAGAAGGCTAAGAATAATGGGACACA